ACCCCTACTCCAGCTTTCTGGACTCCACCCCTGCTCCAGTGATTGGAAACTACAACTCCCAGCAGTACCAGGGAAAGAACTGCAAGGACCCAAGGGCGGAGCTAGCAGGAATTCTGGGACATTTGAGGATAAATAGGGTGCGATTGTGTCTCTCGCTGTCTCTCAGGAAACGGCTCTCCAGCCCACGAGACTGGATATTTTCAGTCAGCCAAGCCGGTAAGGTATTCCAGTTACTTTTATCCCTCTCTCTTTTCCTCGGTTGTTTCTTAATCCTTTCCCCTTTTTGTAAATAAACCCGTTATTGACCCTTTTGTGTGTACTTGCAGTATAACTGAATTGTGAGTGGGCGGGTGAGGCCCCACAGACAGGCGTCCTAGTCGACTCTGGGCTACCCTGTAACATTGTCAGTATGATGATGACCAACCAGTTATTTGCCTAATTTTTTAAACCCTATATTGAACCAATCATACTTAAAGAATGTCCCATAAAAAGAAAATGGGTGTAAAATCTGACAAGTATTAATGTTATAAAGATGTAGAAAGAAAAAGTTACCTACAAAGAGTAAATCAGAAAAAAAAAGCAACCCAGGAATATCAATATCAAGTGAGCACAATATCTAGGATGATATAATCTAGGTTTGATAGTGCCTAATATATATGGAATCACTCAAAGTCACTATACTTTACTTAACAATTAAGATAATTCCCAGAAAATATTTTACAGTTCTGATCTCTGTACAAGCTCTAGTATAGTCAAGACTAATCTGAAAATCAGAAATTAGAGAAAATTATGGAAATATTAAAACTTGAAACTAAAACATCCATTTAATACTGACCTAGCTAATAATATGAACTGATTAGAAGAGATAGAATGGGTTTTAGTGAGTCAAACACAGATTGAAATCATTAATAGATGTGATATTGCCTGTTCTCCACAATTTCAGCAGGTCATTCTCTCTAATTAATCCTTTTGTGAAAAAACTCTGTGATTGCAATAAAGACAAAAAAATGGGTTATCAGGAAAGTCAGGCTGAGGCATAAACACTCAAGTAACTCATCGCACTCATGAGTCAGGTGATGCTGGTTATAACGAGATGTTCTTTGGGGCTTCCTGGAAGGCTTCACTCAGCGGTGGGGCAGAGACCTCCACAGCTGCCCCGAGGCACAGGGGTGTCAGCATCAGCACTACCACAGGTGTTTACAGCTCATCGTGGCAAACATGGCGCAAGCCCATCAATGACCAACTAGTTTCTCAGTACGGGGAAAATGCTTGGGAAAAATACACATCGTTAACCAATGATTGTTTGTGGGAAACAGTCACATGCCGTGAATTAAATTACTTCAAAAATTCACTGGTAAAAGAGCATATATTTGAAGAGTGTGACATGGTTCTGTCATTCTTTATGCAATGTTATTGTTGACTGAATCTTTAAGCAGTTCTATGTTATTGCCAAACCATTGCTCATGGCTAGTTAGCAATTGAAACCTTGATTTAATGACACTAATACTTATTTTTAATTAGCTAGGTTAAGAAATGGTCATGGGAGAATGGAAGATAAAGTTTAGTTATTTCTTAAATTTTCATTGTGATATGCAATTTCATGTGTTAAGTGTGTACAGAATAACCTGATGACAGGTCAAATGTAATTCTCTTTATAGGTGTGCTTGTAATTGTTGAGGTTCAAGAATTCACACCAAACAAGTGAAATGTAAAGGCCCAAAAGCATGGTTTTAAAATAACATCACTAGTCAAGTAAATGACTTGCCTTTTCTAACTGAAAACCTGTAAATGACTTGCCTTTTCTAACTGAAAACCCATGTGAAGATAATCTTCCTTCATTTTTCCTGGTTCTCATTTCTCCCGGCTTGCACATACTTGGGGAGGAATTTAGGAGCCCAGGAATGAGGAACCACACAGCAGTGACCACCTTCATCTTCCTGGGACTAACAGATGACCCAGAACTGCAGATCCTGACTTTCATATTTCTATTCATCGCCTACCTGTTGAGCATAACAGGGAACATGACCATCATCCTCCTCATATTGGTGGATTCCCACCTTAAAACTGCCATGTACTACTTTCTCCAAAATTTTTCCTTCTTAGAAATTTCATTCACTTCTTCCTGCATTCCCAGGTACTTGTACAATCTATCAACAGGCGACAGGACCATTTCCTATAGTGCTTGTCTAAGCCAGGTATTTTTTATATATTTGTTTGCCATAGTACAATTTTTTCTCCTGACCGTCATGTCCTATGACCGGTACGTGGCCATCTGCAAACCCCTGCACTATGTGACCATCATGAACCGCAGGGTCTGCAAAATGCTTGTCTTCTGCTGTTGGATGACGACTTTGTTGCTGGTGTTGCCATTCTTTATTTTGTTACTGGGTCTGGAGTTCTGCAATTCCAATGCCATCGACCACTTCGGCTGTGATGCGAACCCTTTGATAAAGATCTCATGTTCAGATACATGGTTCTTAGAGCAGATGATTGTTGTCTTCTCAGTTTTGGTCTTCATCCTAACTCTCGTGTGCGTGGTTTTGTCCTACGTTTATATCATCAGAACAATCCTGAGGTTCCCGTCAACCCAGCAAAGGAAGAAGGCGTTTTCCACCTGCTCGTCCCACATAATTGTGCTTTCTATCTCCTATGGCAGCTGCATCTTTATCTACACCAAACCTTCAGCAAAAGATGACATGACCATGAATAAGAGGGTTACGCTATTACCTGCTTCCATTTCCCCCATGTTGAACCCATTTATTTATACTCTCAGGAATAAACAAGTGATAGAAGCCTTTAATGGCTTAATCACAAAATTGTATTCCTCTCAAGGAATTAGAGGAATATTGAGGTAAGGTTGAATAATATATTTACTCAAGTTTCTACCCCATTTTACTTCCTGATCTAAATTTCTCTTTCTATTTAATGCAAGCTGTGAACAAGTCACTCTGTACCTCTGATTACATACCATCTTCTCATTTTTTTTTTTTAAGCTACATGAACACAAAAGCATTTAAGAATCATCACTTATGGGCCTGCATATGTCTACCTCACTCTGCCTTAATCTGCTTATAGACACATATCTGCTTTGAAGATAACATTAAGAACAACAATATTCTGATTTCATGAGAATATGGTTGTCCCTTGGAATGTGATGAAATATCCTAGGATGGGAAAACATACTGACAGTTTCTGACAGTTTGAAGATTTCAGATCACTTCATCTAGTTTTTAGACATTTAAAAATATTCTTTAAAATCCTAGATAATAAAAATATTTAAGTCTTTCAATAATTATTTTTTCCTAAAGGAAAATAAGTTTTAGAGTATAAGTAGGGTGCATTCTTTCTCTGAGTTTAAACATGTAAGTCTTTCTGTCATGTGGAAAACTAGTTTTCAACTGTCAAAATCATTTTGTAAGTGAACTGTTGTGTTTTCTAGGTATACAGTTTCTTTTTCTTTCAAGGGTTTTGATCGGGGGATGTGGACGGACTCCAGTATTTCAGCATGTAATCTTTAGTGAATGTGAACTCAGAAAAAGAAATACTAAACGTTTTCCCTTTTTGTTGTTCATCAATGAGATACCACCTTACACCAGCAGGAATGGCACTATTTATTAAAACACAGGAAACAAAATGTTGGCACGGATGTGGAGAAAAGGAGCTCTCTCACACGGCTGGCGGGAATGCAAATGGGCCCGACCGCTGTGGGGAGCTGTGTGGAGGTTCCATGACTACGAAAATGGGCTTCCTGTGACTCAGCAATCCACTCCTAGCATCTACCCAAGGACACACAAACGTTCATTCAAAGGGACATCTGCACCCCTATGTTTAGTCCAGCACTGTTTACTATAGGCGGCCATGGCAACCACCAAACGCCCCCACCAAGGTGACTGGATCAAGAAGATGTACTAATGCGCAGTAGAAAACGACTCAGCAGCCGGAAAAGTCAAACTCATGCACTAGAGACAGAGTTGAGAGGGACTGTGCTCAGTGAAATCACCGGAAGGAAAAAGAAAAAATATTGGATGGTTTAACTTATGGGAGGAATATGGGGAACCAAGAGAAGGACCAGGAGAAAATAATCATAGTAGATTAAAAACAATTAACAGGCAAATATCAATCAGAGCCACTCTGCTTGGAGCGGAGGCAGAACACCGAAAAGGGAGGCATGTGTTCTGACACAGGGGATGTGGTGACGGTGACGGGTGAATGTCTGCATGTCTACAAAGATACTGAGAATAAGGACTCTACCCGCTGTCGGTGCGCGTGCACTTTGGAGCAGCCTCCGTGGGAAATAGAGCGGTGACTCCTTCCAGAACAAATAGGGAAACCCCGTGCGGTCCAGACATGCTCTCCTAGGCATTTCCTCAGTTACATGAAGACTCTTCTCTAAAAAGACTGTAAGCCCTTGTTCCTACACACACTGTCCATGGCTGCCAACTGCGGACCAGCACAGTGCCCAGGGCAGGGACTGCAGAGTGACGTTGTGGAGGGCACACTCAGTGGCCGCTGCTCAGCTACTTGGGAACCTGGGCAATGGCAGTGAGAGGGAATCCCTGACCTGTCCTGTCTTTCAGGCAAAGCTTTCAGGGTCCTTCCCAGTGAGGATGACGTGGAGTGGGTCTGTCCTCTGTGGTCTTTGATTAGGGACATCCCTCCCGTACTCATAGTTTTTATCATAAATGGGTGCTGAATCTTGTTAACTTCTTTTTTGGTATCTACTGAGATGCTCATATGACACTTAGCTCTCATTTTGTGAAGGAACACATCGGTGGATTTGCATGTTGAAAAGTCCTTGCATGCTGATAAATTCCACTTCATCATAACTTGTGATCTTTTGAAATGTGTTGTGACATTCAGCTTCAAAGTTAACATGAATCTTGTAGCCAGGATCATGAGCATCAGAGATTTTGTTCTGACTTTTTGGCGATGTCCTTATCTGGACACCTTAGCAAGAGGCTGATGATATGTGCACACCAAACACTTCTTGAGGGACTGATGTCTGGGTCTACTGTAGACTGGGTCTACACAGAGCTTATATGATGAAAGGCTCAGCAGGCTTGGTGCAGTTGAAAGATGGAAGGTCTGGCCAAGTTTCTAACAAGTAGGAACTTGATTGTGCTCCTGGAGACAGGGGTCTCACAGACCTAAAAGACAGAGTAGAGGTCAGTGAAGTCGCACCCGCTGGAGAGTACAGTGAGTTTCTCCAGGGTAGGGAAGCTGCTTTGCTTTTCTTTCTCCAAGACAATTAATCAGTAACACTTATCTGTATACCAGCCATGCAGAGGTGATTCCCGGAATGCAGGTGGGTCCCCGACTTTAGGAGGCTCAAGGTGAGGAAGCTCGAGGTATGCAGACAGTAACAGCCCCAGATTCAAGGTTCTCACCTCCCTGCCTTGCCAGGCTGACCCCACCTTACATTTAACACAACAAAGCCAAACAATCCAAAAGAGGAGGACATACAGATGGCTAATCAGCACTTGAAAAAAATATTCATCATCACTTATCAGAGAAATGTAAATCAAAACCAGAATGAGAAACCACCGCAACTCCAGGAGAATAGCTGATACCAAAGACCATAAACAGCCAGTGTTGGTGAGATGGAGAGAAAAGGGAAACTTCATGCTCTCTGTTGGAGGATACTTGTGACTTTGGTGGTGGGTCTGGTGTGACAATATACATGTAGACTTGGGAACTTATATCCTTAAAACAAAGACAATATTTTAATATTTTAATTTTTATAGGATAACATACGAATATACATAATAGCGATATAGTTACCTACTTAAAAGTAAGAATTATTACTATTTTCCTTATGAGGATATTTGCCTCATTCCTTTTCCTCGCATACTCTATGCCATCTGCATAGACTTTGGTGGTGGGTCTGGTGTGACAATATACACGTAGACTTGGGAACTTATATCCTTAAAGACAATATTTTAAACCAATGACATAATCATACAATGAAAGACAAGAAACAAATGTTGAAGAGAATGTGGAGAAAAAGATGTTTGTACCCTGTTGCTGGAAATGTACATTGGTGCAGTCATGGAAAGGAGTTTGGAAAGTTCTCCAAAATTAAAAAGAAATTTCATTCTATGGAGTTTACTTATACCTGGCATTTATCTGAAAAAAAAGAAAAAAAAGTTGACAATCTTGACCTATGATGAATGAATGCAAACAAAATCCTTCAGTCAACTTTACCATCAAGCTGGTAAATGGCGAAACTTGTCCAGAGAGGTATTCATGGACTAAAGATGTTAGAATCAAGGACTATGAAAAACATTTTTCAAATAGCTCTTGTCCTAAAGGGTACAACGTTGTTTTCATCTCGTATGATAATTTCTAACATACTGAGTTAAAAAAAATATGTATAATCTCATGGTAGCTGGACATTAAGCAAACAGTAAAGAGCAAAGTGAAATGCAAATACATTTTCTTGCTAGGCTTCCAGGCTGACCCTGTCTAACAAGGCTATTTTAAGAACCCATGGTTACTCTCCTCTTTTCCAAGATCTGAAATTTTTTTGTCAGGATTAGATTTGTGACATGCTTCTATTTTCAGTCCTTGCAGATGACATAGAGAATGCTGTGAGGAAAAGGAATAAGGCAAATATACTCATAAGGAAAATAGTAATAATTCTTACTTTTAAGTAGGTAAATATATTGCTATTATGTATATTCGTATGTTATCCTATAAAAATTAGCTGCACCCGCGGGGATTACAATTGAGATGGGAAAAAAAAATGTACAAAATGATGTAAAAATAAACTGTTATAAATAAAAATAAAAAAAATTAGGTGCAAAATTAGTTTACATTTTTTGTAAACTAATTTTTTATGTGAGTAGAAATATTGCCAGATACTTATTTTTCATTAGGCAAAATTGTTGCATCCTATTGTCCCCAAGGACGCTGCTCCCACTGACGTCCTGCAGGACTGTGCCAACATTTCTTCTCCTTAGAGTCATTATCATGTTTGCACTTTGGTCACAAAGGGCCCTTTATTCACTCCGATGGTCCTTGCATGTCCATAAAATACAGATGACAAAGCATCTAAATTCATTGTATGAAATTTATGTCCTGAGATATCAGGAATGATTTTTCTGAATCTTCTACAATTCACCTTACACTTGCCAAGTTTTTAAAATAAATGCTTTTGCTCTAGTCCTAGATACAGGCACTGTGGTTCAGACTCGGGGCTGGAGAGGACACTGAAGAGAGTCTGTGCGGGAATCATGGAGACCTGCTGTCACAGATGTTTCAAGATGTGGCGGAAACACGCACAGCTCTTTGCTGGGCCATTCACAGACAGACGGACTCTCCTCACACTTTCACTTTCTTCTTGAGACTCTCACCACTGCATACTCAGCTAAAGCTAGTTTTGTCTTCCAAGAAAGTAAGGATATTTTGTTTGTGAATTTCAGTGTTTTTTATTTAATATTCTAGTTCCTTGGTTTCAGTAAAATGTGAGATTTCCATGCTTAAATTAAAATGATAATAATGTAGATATATCAGGGAAAGAACTGTTACTTCTAATTTTTTTGTTCTACAAAATAAAATGTTAAGCTATTAGATTCAGTAGGGATATTTGTTGAAATCATCAGTAGAGATTTCAATCAATTTCTGTCTCTATTTTTTCTTCATGGACATATTACCCCCATCATAGTATGGAGTATAAGTTTTTTTTTTTTTTTTTTAAAGATTTATTTATTTGTGCATACAGAACTGGGGTCCAGGCTAGAGGCTCAGGGGCGGTGACAGGCTTCACCAGAGACAGAGTGGGGAGCAGGACAGGCAGATCGACGAGGTACACTGCTGAGGGGAGCAGCGGGCGGGTCAGGAGAGGTCTGCTGCG